CCCCCCAAAAAAAAAAGACGATAAATTTTTATTAATAAAGAATTGGAATTTTATTTATATTTTCATCATCAATAATTTCATCATTTAATAATTTGAATGCAACATTTTTTGCATATTTTTATTTTTCAGATTTTGCTCCAGATAGGCCTAACATCACGCTCACCAGATATTCGAAACTGAGCTTAGATGACTCAGATTCTTCAGATTCCGGAAAGCTCATTGAGCCAAGTCACGTCATACTTGCGCAACCCGTCGATCAAGAACTGTGGTCGGAATTATGTAGACCAAACAACCTTGTCGTTACCCAAACAAAGACACAAAAACCATCCAATTTGACAAACTCTAAAATTCTCGAAGATTTTGCCAATTTTGATCAGAATGTGAAAAGTAACAAATCTCCTAGTTTTCAAGATATGTCCTGGTCATGTACCCTCACCCCATCATCACCAGAATCTAAGGGGGCCATCACCCCTGGCACCCCCCAATCTAGCTGGGGGGTCTCTTTCCCCTCTACCACCAAATCCAAACCACCACGAGGCACTAGATCAAACTCAATTTCTCCAAGTGAAACTCTCTCCTCCTCGCTAGCAATCTTGAGTGCAGAACCCCTCCCCACCTCACTATCCAACTCAAGAAGAGGACCCATCACCCCCTCAAGTATACATTCCAAATTTAATAAACTACCCGATAGAAAGTTGTCTAACAAACCAACTGATATAAATCTAAACGTCCTAGCGGACAAAAATATTCCTAGTTTAGAAGAAAACGGATTAAATAAATGCAGCCTAGGAACAATGACAGAAGATTGTTTAGAAAACAATTCGTTTAATTCAAGAAAGTATTCAGAATCCGACAATGGTAAGAATGAAATTCAATAATTCTTGTACAGACCTTCAAATGGACGAAATTTTAAGCATCGCATTATCTTCAGTCTTTTTTTAAGGATACGCGGTTTTAGTTTAAATAATTCCAAAGTTAAGAGACACAATGGTAGCGTTATTTTTTAACATATGTTAATGCAAATGTTAAATCAAAATTTCAAAAAAGTGAAAAATTTAAATTATTTTTTTAATATTTAGATGATGAAGATGTCACCTGTAACGTCTGTGATCGGTCCTTTGCTACATCACGTGCTCTTGTAAATCATAAGATAAAAACGAGACATTGGGGGTATGTTATATACATCACGTGCTCTTGTAAATTATAAGATAAAAACTAGACATTGGGCGTACGTTATATACATCACAAGTTAGGCTCACGTTAGTCTCAAGTTAGGTTCAAGTTAGGCTCAAGTTAGGCTGAAGTTAGGCTGAAGTTAGGCTGAAGTTAGGCTGAAGTTAGGCTAAAGTTAAACAAAGCTGACCCTGCTTTAAAAATTTATGAGACTGTTTATAAGCAGGTTAAATTTACACTCTGACATTCTGACTCTGACCCTTCATTTTTTATTAATTTCAACAGTTTTTTTTTCAGATAATTTTTATAGAACATTATTGATCGAGGCATAATTACATATTTTCCTCTTTTTACCCTTTCTTCCCCCACATTTATAGTTTTTTTATTTCTTTTTGCCAATCTTTTTTTTGGCGCTGTTTTATGAAAAAATTATAAAAAAAGTTGCTGTTTTGCGCCATATTTATGATACACATTTCCCCCCAGTTTTTGTTTTTTAGCTTTCGCCAGCTTATTTATATTTTGGACGATAAATAATGCTACAGGAGGACTTAGACCATTGGTCAGATGATAATGATGATGATGATGATGATGATGATGATGAAGATGATGATACCCTGTTCTGTGAGGATGAGAACCTGAATATATTTGGAGTGTATTACCCGCCAAATAATTCAGCAGAGGATGATCTTTTACTGTATCAATAGTTTTCTTAGATCACAGAAAACATAGATATGACAAGAGTTGGGCACATTGATAGACAACATGGATAGGACAAGATATGAGAGAATTAATAGATAACATGGATAGGACAAGAGAGAGGCACATTGATAGATAACATGCATATGGCAAGAGATGTTCACGTTAACATATAACATGGATAGGACAAGAGATGTACACATGTCCATTTAACATGGATAGGACAAGAGATGTACACATGTCCATTTAACATGGATAGGACAAGAGATGTACACATTAACAGATAACATGGATGGGACAAGAGATGTGCACATTCATAGAAAACATGGATAGGACAAGCGAATATACACATTAATAGATAACATGGATTAGACAAGAGATGTACACATTGACAGATAACATGGATAGGACAAGATATGTACATATTAACTGTTAACATGGATAGGACAAGATATGTATATATTAACTGATAACATGGATAGGACAAGATATGTATACATTAACAGATCACATGGATAGGACAAAAGATGTATGCATACATTAATAGATAACATGGAAAGGACAAGCTATGTATACATTAACAGATAACACGGATAGGACAAGTTATGTATACATTAACAGATAACATGGATAGGACAAAAGATGTATGCACACATTAACAGATAACACGGATAGGACAAGTTATGTATACATGAACAGATAACACGGATAGGACAAGTTATGTATACATTACAGATAACATGGATAGGACAAGATTTACTTCAAATTGTATTGAAACCCCTGAAAGTGAACGAGACAATCTGAAGGTTGAATGTGGTTTTCATATCTTGAGTTAAGTTACCTTACTTCATGATGTGTCAAAGAAAGAAACAGTTCACAGTTGCAGGAAATCAAAAATAAGAAAATTCGTACAGTCGCCTCTGAACTCTCATCCTCAATTGGTGACCCCATGTTTAATAGCATTTTTCGTGAACCCTTCCCTAATTAAAGTTGTATAAATATTGTTCCTTAAAGGGACTTTAAAGGAAAAATGAAAGGGGGTATAGGTTGAAACCTGAGCATCTCAAAAGTTGAACGATACATTTAAGACATAAGATGTTCCTGTCTCGAGAAATTGACATAGAACTGTGTCAAAATTATACCAAAATGTATATATGTAAGATAAACGTCCGTATCACATGACCAGAACTCTCTCCAATGGGCAGTATACTGGTCTCGTGATAAAGACGGAGACACGTGACAATAATACTGCACTGCCATTGGTTGGAGTTCTGGTGACATGTTCCAGACGCATACATAATATTATCAATTATACCTATTAAAAATGAAAAATTATTAAATTCAAATAATAATAGGAGCAAACTTGAGTTTCTCAGGCTCCTGTGGGATATTGTTGTGTTTTAAATTGGTTGCGTATTTGTTGAAAATGATCTGTTTGATACTACGAATCTTATACAAACTCTTACATATATACGTTTTGGTTTAATTCTGACACAGTTTTATATCAATTTCTCCAGACAGGAACATCAGATAGATGTCTTATATGTCTCAATCAACTCCTGAGATTCTCTATGCCCCTTTTCATTTTTCCCTTAAGCGTAAATTCAAGCGACCTTCCTTACAAAAATGATAATGCTCGATTCACAATGTTACCCATGAAAGCTTTGTCAGACCAGTATGAATTAGATATCAATGTTTTTTTATGTTTATTTTCATTTTCGGTTTCTCTGGGAAAATGACTTACGCATTTCTCGTTTTAAGAAGCAATGGAGAAACTCACAGAAGTAAAGACTCTTCAAGTCAGAGAAAAGACGGCATCTTCAACATTTTCGATACCGTTGTAAATCGGACATTACCATATTTGCACGAAAGGTCACATGAAAATATGCTTTAAGTCCCTTTAAAAGGTTTATTTTTTAGTGATTAACGTACTGTAAATGTATTGTAAATGTACTGTAAAACTGTGACAGAAAGCAAATTAAAAACATATCAAACTGTTACGAAAATACATTTTTTTGAATATATTTTATTAAATGAATGTACTTATGTCGTAAAGTGTGTAAAAACATGTTTTGTCATATCGGCTGAACAGTTCGAACCAACAATTTTTGTCGGACCACACATATACCACCTGACCCAGGAAAGGTTTATGACTAATAGAAATTTTAAATTTCTCTTTTTCATTTTACTAAACAATCCCTTTGCTCTCGTTTATCGTTGGTTTGTTTAGAATCATTACGTGAGAGAGAATCTTTCCATTGACAGCTTCTACTTTTTTGAGTGTTTATAACCCTGAGACAGAAGCCCAAAGGAGTTACGCCTTTGCTCTTTCTCTTCCTTGTAATTCAACACGGCATGCGCGTAACTCATATGGGCCTCTACCGCAAGCTTATTGTGAACGAAAAACTCATAAATCTTGAAAAGGCGACATCTAGTATTCTATCTGTATTGTTATTAATCTTTTGGTTATTTGTATCCATACTGTTCGAATGCTGGGTAGAAATCAAAAATTGAAATTGAAAGTCGTCTTCATTGTACTGATATACGACGACGACTGTAAATAAGTTAATTTGAATATATCCTATAAAATCACATCACTCCATTTAAACTTATTGTGCACTGAATTGAAACCTATTAAGGGACGGTAAGGGTAATTTCAAGTGACCCTTCATGCAAAGATGGCACTGCCTGATTCACAACGGTACCCTTTAAAGATTTGTATGGTCAAGTATGAATTAGATCTCAATGTTATAATTTTTAACACGACTAGTTTTTAATTTATATTTTATTAGCAAAAATGACTTGCCAATTATAATATATACAGGTTAACATTCAGGTATCAATTATAATTGAATTATAGTTTTAAACCTAGCAAACTGAAAATATCTTCCCAATTATTGATCGATAAGGGTGTCAATCAGGTGGGATGATAGTTCTCTACCTGTGTGCTCAATTAGCTGTACTCTACACTTACAACTGTTTACTAATATTGAGATACTACAGGTTAGGCCAGAATCAACTTATAATAAACAAATATGCAGTACGCTCTCGGTATTGTTTATGGCCTATACAATCATCACTCTATACACTATAAGTTCGTTGGTATCAATGGAACCGTTGTGAATCGGTTATTACAAAAATTCTGATAAGCTGATAATTGAAAAAACCGAACGAATTTCTTTTGTTTGAAATTTTCTTCGAAAGTTTCTGCTTGGTAACCCGCACATTTTATGCATTTCATGCGCATCATGCAGGTATAAGACAATCTGCAGCGGATAATTGAAGAAGTGTGCTCAGTTTCTAATAAAATTTGAATATTAAGACAACATTTTAAAATGTTCATAAAAGTCAAATTTTCAAAGTAATTGTAATTTTTTTTCGTGTAATATCATTTTCACGTTATATGATGATAATTATTTGCTAATTGCAAACCGGGTGATAATAACTTTTCAACCTTCGGAAATATAATTGTAATATTAAAATCACGAACTGTTGTTAATAAAATAATATAGGTCGTCATTCTGGTAAGATAATATTAAAGGTACTGTTAGCGTATTATTTAAGTGACCCGACATGCAAAGATGGCAATGCCTGATTATAGACGTTACCACTTAGTCTGATTAAGTTTGAATAAATCTTCAACGATTTTGTTTCTTTAATTTGTTTATTTTCATTTCCAGTTTCTTGCATATAAACCGCAAAGGAGAAGTTTATTTCGAGTTAGAAAAACGACGGTTTTATTTTATTTTTTTTTATCAGATTGAGGTTTCAAGGCCCAAGGCACTCCAGTATGCCGAGTCCATCAGCGCCTGATCCAATCAGGGTTCAGTCATGTGTTTGATGTCTACTCTGAACCAATAGAAATATTTCTATCTATATCATTATCTAATCAGAGTTATGAATCCTTCGATCAGCTTCTATTGAAACTATGGTGAAGGGTACCGTTGTAAATCGGGCATTTCCATCTCTGCATGTACGGTCACTTGAAATTAATTACGCTTATAGTCCCTTTAAGGGTATTGATTTCCTCACCTGATTCAAATCGGTAACATATCTTATTATGATGATGAAGACACAGAAACAGCTGTACAATCATTTTGATAAAAGTCAGAGAAAAACTACGCTTTATAAACTATAATCATCTTTAATAGTTTTAAAAATTTAATGTTTAAGAATATATTTTCAAAAAAAAATTCAATGGCCAAAAACTGCACGACATCAATCTCTAGTTACAGAGGACTGTAAATTTCTTTCTTTTCTTTCTTTGCCAAATCATTTATTATAAGCCATTTAAAGACGAC